AAAAAAAAAAAAAAAAAAAAAAAAAAGCAAAAACAAAATAGCTTTTTTTAAATAAATAAATAAATATTCTTTTTTTTTTCTTAGAAAATTTTTTTACCTTTCATAAAGAAAGTTAATAGAAAAAGAATTGAAGTAGCAAATTGTGACAAATTTAAATGGCCTGCAAATGGAAAGCTAAAAAAGAAGAGAAGAGACAAAATAGTCTTTCCGTAAATTGTTAAGAAAAAAAAAGCTAATTTTTTGTGTTGATACTAATAAAAAAAAAAAAAAAAAAGTTGAGAAAAATAATTTTTTTCTTTTTTTGTAAATATTCAGTTGTGATCAATCGATGTCATTAATGTCTAAAAAATTTTTAGCAACAATTGAATTTTGGTGAAATAAAATGTAAGCCATATGCAACACTGCCCAAACAAATTTATACCATTTCGTATTAGGGAGGGGGGGGGAGAGGGTGAAATTGAAAATTTGACAGGCAACATTTTTTTTTTTTCCAAAAGGTAATTTAACTAACCAAAAAAAAATAAGTTTTTTTTTAAAATAATCAATCAGCTCAATTGTTTTGTAAATATTTTGTCAGTTTACAGTGAAGTGTACAGCCAGTTGACTTCATAAATTCAAGAATACAACTTTAAGTCTGAAACTGAACAAATACCTATAAAGTAACATTTATAGATTTAACTTAAAAAAAGTGAAAAAAAAAACTTTTTTTTTTAATGTTAGGAAAAAACTTGTAGATTTTTTAAAGTATAGTATAACTTTTTTTTTAAAAAGAAAAAAAAGAAAATCAAGTAAATATTGCTGTCACATCGACAAATACCTATTTAACAGCAATGATTCTTTGGGTTTAGACAACAAATATTGCAAGCCATATGCAGATACTATGTTCTTTACGGTAAAGGTTTCGTTTCGAAACCGCCAAAGTTCCTGTTGTCAATTAATATTAATTCAAGCATCAGATACTTCTGATATCGCAGGTATTCTGTTTAACGATAAGGTTATCAAAACGTCATATCTATTGAACAAAAGAAGAAGAAACTCAAAAAGTAGGTTAAAGATAAGCTTTGAAAAATAATTTATCTTCTTTCTTCCTTTTACATATGCCTTCACATTTTTTGCTATCAAACTAGCGGCAGTAAAACTGAAGGCAGCGTTGTTTATATTACAATTTTAAGTTACCTTATTGCTTTTTTTTTATCAGACTATTTTTTACAGTTTTTTATTTTCTGTTATAACTTTAGTTCCATTAAAAAATTGAATGCACTTAATTTAAACCACAAACTTGTCTGATTAGAAAAAAAAAAAAGAAATAATTTGACGTCATTTATTAAATTATTGAAGAATTTTTTATGTCTTAATAACGAGAATTACAGTAAAATCAGTTGCGGGTAATTTATCCATTTAAAACTTAGATTTTTCACCGGTTATGAAGACCCATAGTGGTATTTTTAGATCATTTCACTGTTGTATAACACATTACCGACTACTGCTTCAAGTACCAAATAGAATGGAAACAAAAGCAGTCGTCCCAAGAAATCCGTTTTTCCAACTTATACCCGGTGTACGAACCATTGCCGGTGTGGCAACACTAATAAGTCATAAAATTTTTTTTTTTGTTTTTTTCCCGATCAAAGTTTTTTGCATATTTCGATAACAATTAATTTATTGCCAAAAAAGAATAAACAATGTAAGAAGTTGCGATTATAATTTCAAAAAAAATTTGTCCTAAAAATTGAACAAAATTAAAGTGATGGCGTTCAGTGTTTTGGTGGAACACCTATGATTGTCTGTTCAAGACAAAACTGATACCAAAAGCAGTATTTTACGGAGTGACAAGCATACCATTGCTCCTTATGGAAGGAACTGCATTTGTTATTTTGTGTTTCGGGTTAGTCTACTTCTAATCGATCTATTTACATGACCTGGAATAACAAAGTTAAGATTAAAATTAATTTTTTGCTACAGCAATACTGTCTTCCAAAAATCCAAGGTACAAAATGCACTTTCCAAAATTACTTGCTAGACAGCTTTTACATGATGATTCCTATTAAACAATAACAAAAGTTTTATAGTCTATAAACAAATTTATTCTCAAAAAAAAAAAAGACTACCTATTTTCAACAGTTACAGTAAACAAACAGTAACCTTCAAAATATTTGTAAATATTGGGCATTACAGATTAGATGGTTTTATATGCCATATTTTGCGGCCTATCATAAGAATGAATGCAATATTACGTGCCTTTCTTTATGCAGGACTTTCTGCGGTGATTATGACGAAAGATATTTTTGGAATAGGAAGGTTTTGCTTCCCAACAGGTAAAAAAAAAAAATCTTTTGGTTTTTGCTGTCGTTTACCTTTATTTTTTTAATAACATCGACTGCAAACATAAATTAATAGAAAACTCCTTGCTGAAGTACATAAAACTGTTCATAGAAAATTTGCTAAACAAACACGGTTCTTAACCACAAAACCAACTCATTTCTGTACATTAAGGTACTCTGGTGGCAGTAACAGCCGTACTCTATTTAATAAAACCGCTGGAAACAAAAACGGTAACAATGACTCCAGAAACAGTGAAAGCAATACAAGACCAAAATTATTGACGATTTTCAGCAACAAGCGTATATTTCTCACTGTATGCCACCGTTGATTAACCTGTTATATGTTATCGATGTTTTTGTTGTTAACAAGCAGCTCATGATATTACATCTTTGAAAGTTGATTTATGCACAGTCTTAACAGTCCTATGTCTGAAAACAACTTGATCAAATACAACCGGGTACATTAATGCCATAAAAAATGATGCCTAATTCTCATCCTCAGTTACAACAAATTAACAATACAACTAAAACAATATTAAGATTTTTTCAACTAGCCTCTTTGCTCTAGATTACACAAATATCTTTTTCAAGATCAATGAGAAACGAGAACTGTTGGCCTACAAGAAAAAACTGGTTAAAAACCACAAGGCGATACGGTTGAAAAAGCAGTCACTGAGCAGGAAAAACAATAGAAATTACAGATCTAAAACCTAATTTAAAAACTAGACATGGTTCACTAAGTTAAGCTAAAATTTTGCTGAATTTCTTCAGCCAGATTCATCTCAAAAACAGTGAGAGAAAAAAAATGAAGAACACAGTGACAACTTAGATATACAAAAAAATTTTGACAACAATAGAAACTCCAATTTGGTGATGATCATTTATGTACCATACTAAGAGTTATACCACTAAATGCGACCAGTTATTAACCAGTTTGTTAACCGTTACTGCAATAAAACAGTCGATTATCTGTGATTATAACTGTCAGTATTATAATTGACGACTAAACTCGGAAACGAGTTACTTCGGTACCAACTAATATTATCACCGGCATTCATCATCTTCACCAAAGAAAACGAAAAAAGTGAGTCCCAAGTCTACTTATCCGTTTCCGCTTACAAATAAACCTTTTCTGATTTAACCTCCTGAAGCTGCCCCCTTTAAAAAACTACTTAAATAAATTAAGCTTTCAAAGCAAAATTTATCGCGAAGAAGACTAAGACTCCAAAAACATTCTTAAATTAGTTTTTTCCTCCTGGTTATAATAAATGCATATCAGACTCAGAAATCTCTAATCTACTTATCCAAAATTGTTAAGATTCCTCAGCTAAGATTCCTTAACCTTCTAATTTATAAATCCCCCCTGCAAGATCACAAACACCTTAGAAAAAAAGAGCAAAGAAGATTCAAAAAATCTCGACTTCATCAAATTGGAACGTTGAAATAGAAGTAAAAAACTAGTAAGCATTCCTATCAGCTAGAAGAAGAATTTCTTTTTGGTTTTTCTGCTTCCTTTTTCAACTCTAGCAACTGGAAAAGCTGTTCATCTGTAAAGCTATCCAACAACGACGGGTTTAAATTTGTCCCAATTACTCCTTTCGCTATTCCTTTTTGAGACAGTTGTTTAGAAAGTGTGGTACAGTAATCCTAAAAATCCCACTTTTACAATATCCCATCTCCATGTAATGAAATCTGCTGAACATCTAAGTACTAACGTAGAAAAACTGAACTTACGGTCCACTCCTTCAAAAACACAAGACTCTGTTCTGGGCTGGCATTTTTATGTCTTCTAAATTCATCTTTCACGTACTGATCGCCCAAATAACGCATTTCTTTTGGAAGACCATAATGTAACCTGTTAAGATAAGAAAGAAATTTCTAAGAAAAGATTTTGCTTCATATAATCCAGTTTCAAAAAATCTTCATTCTGCTTTTTTTTTAAAAACCCTAGTAAGCAGCACTGTGATGCAGCTTGAACTGACAGAAAAAGATTAACGATACATATAAACAACATTAGTCCTTTAATAACGAAAAATAGAAAGAAAAACAATGTCAAAAAACGTACCTAAGAATTCGTTTATACAAAATCAGAGGAAAACGTTCGGGCTTTAAAAGCGTCTGCACAGCACTTTTTGCGTTATTCATTGCTAGAAAATAGCTGAATTAAAAAACTCGCTCCTAAAAGCGGCATCAAAAAGCAGTTAAAAGCCAAAACTATCGCATCAAAAACATTAGCTTTCTTGGCATTAACCCAACCTACTGAAGGAAATATGTTTGAAACTAACAAATACATTGTCTTAAGCATCGTGTTAATTCTCGACAACGTTAGTAACCACAGCAGACTCATCAATGATTATTGATGTCTTCTACATAGAGCAAACGAGACATAGAAATATAAGCTCCACAATATAAACTTCCATAAACAGAGTTTCACAAAAGTACTTGCAAAGCTTTGATTTTTAAAATCCTTAAACTTCAACCCCAAAACTCATAAACTCCGTTCCCGAAAGTGTTTAATAAGAGCAATAAACATTACCTCAAAAAGTCTAAACCAAAAAGGGAAAGCAAGAAATTAATTGCTTCTAAGCTGTGGATCTCACAAAAACTAACAATAAAAGAAAAAAGGCAACAAAAGGGTACGCCGGAAGTGAAGAGACCGACAAGAGAGTTATGTAAAAAATAAAATCAAAAAAACGCCTAAACTATCCATTAGAAAAGCAGCCAAAACGAA